TGACAATACCGTTTCGTATGGCCATAAGCCTGGCAGTTATGGCATTGAACGATGTCGCGCTTGCTGTAGGGCTTTTCTACAACAACGCTTGTATAATAAAGGCGTGTGACCTTGTAGATGTTTTCGACATCGGGTGTTCGGTCAAGGTCAACGAAGAATAGTGGAAGAGGTATTTTATTTTTTATTCCAGGTTGTTCTTTATCCTCCTTGAATATGTTCACTATCTGGCGAACATGGAATCCCATAGCCATGAGCTCTTCTTTTATAGCATCTGTTGGCGTAGATGGGTGCAGTCTTCTGATAACGACTCTGAGCGCCCTCTCTTGACGCAGTTGATACGTGTGGTAATCAGCCTTGGTGTCAGATAAATATTTTATCATTTTTCTGTAAGTTTCTGGAGTGTCGGGCATTAATTTAGTGTCATTGGTGCGGCTTTGGCATAAATATTTTCCTGAACCTACTAGATTATTCAATTGATGACACATCAATTGAAAATTTTTAATATTTCTAACAAATATTGGTGGGGGTTTAGGTTCTCTGGGGGTTGATGCTGCTTCCATTTGTTCGTTATTTATATTTGAAAGCACTTCAAATGGATTCGAAGTGAAAAACGGCGATTCTTCGCCCATAGCTTGAGTTGTCTCACAATTGTTAGGTTGTTGTGAGGAGCCAGGTTGGGGTTCAACTTCTTCTATGGAGCTCCCTGGTGTGGCTGGTGGAGTGTTTCTTTTTGAATGCCTTGTCTTTTTTTTAATGGGAGAACTAATTGTAGTATCTAGGCTCCTGGACCTAGTGTTTTTGCCCTTACTCGACATTAGCATGTGATAATATCGCATTTCATATTAATTTTTTAAAAGAAAAATTGATAAAAGTGAGGCGATGAAAAAAATAAATTTTTATTGAAGACGAAAATATAGACGCGAGCTTGGAGAGCGCAGGTCTGCTCCCGACGAAGGGCTCTAGCCCACTAGTCAGATTAACGATGTGTATTACGGCTGGCCGTTATCTAACTAACCTAAGGTCTATTTACACTGTTCACTCTTGTGTTGTAAATAAGTGATTACTCACCTTATTTTTTTGTCCAGTATCAAACGTAATTGTTAATGTAACTGATAACACTAATTGTTCACATTAAGCTTGTATACTGCCACTGATAATTGAAATTTTTTAAGAGACGACCTGAAGTATGTTTAACTAGGGCTAACGCCTGCGCAGAGGTTTACCCAGGTAGCGCTCATTTATCGAATGTACCCAGGTGATGGTAGATTCCAGCGCCAGAGGGGAGGTAACCCGATTAGACGCAGAGGAACCAGGATGGAATAGACTATTCTATAAAAAGCCTAGAAACACACCCACGGGCTGGAAAAGGAGAGAATCTGCGTACAGCCGTAGAGAGAAACCTGTAGGGGGCGAACGAAGACAAGGGCAAGGCAGGGCGAGAACTAGCCAAAGGAACGAGGACAGGAGATGTCATGGCTGTGGGAAGAGCCGACACTTGGTGGCACAATGTCTCCGCACGAAATGCTTTGAGTGTGGGACAGAGGGACACATTGCGAGGCAAAGTACTCAAGAAGGGACTCGTAACGAGGAGAGCCGATGGAAGTAAATGCTCATAGGTTGAGGAGAAGAAATATGCAGTCAAGGAGGAGTGGATCTTCAAGAGATTCTACAGAAGAATCAGCAACCACTGAGACAGAGGAAGACTGGATGAACCAACGAGCAGGGAGAATGAGATTAGCAGAGAAGGGCAGAGAAGCAGCTGAAGAAGCGGACGGCGTCGAGCCGAGGAGATGATCTGAGGAGAGTGTCAGCCGAGGGGTGACCGTACGCTAGTAAATCATAACATTAGGGGTAAAAGCTGCTGGTTGTCTATAATAGAGGTGAGAAGAGGAGTGCGGTGCTTGGTGGAAACCGGGAGTCCCAACACTATCATGACCCGTGGAGCGTTGGAAAAGCTGTATGGTGGAGTGAGGACATTCCAAATCCAGGTATGTAACTGTAAGTTAATCACCCTGGGTGGCCCGTGTAGAGTAATGGGGAAAGTAGAGATAGGATTAAGGAGGTGGGCGGCCAAGGGAGGTAACCTTAAGGTGCATGTGGTAGGAGAAATGGCCCGGGAATACCAAGTAATTATAGGGTGTGATACGTCGGAGAAGATGGGTACGCGAATCACAAATAAAGGGGAAACGTGGAAAATAGAAATAGGAGCGATAATAAAGAATGGGGACAGTAGAGCGTGTATAGGAGCGATAAGTCGAGCTGAGGATTGGAGATTAACTGTGAGGAGGGAGTTCGAGGATATTTTCTTTAAGGAAGGGAACACACTGGGCGTGACGGGAAGAACAGTGCAGGAGATTCCGCTGAAACACGAGAAGGTGAGCTATGTGAAAGAGAAGAGATACCCACATGCTCTTCGCCAACATATCAGGGAAGAATTGCAAAGTTTGAAAGAGCAGGGAGTAATTGTGGAAAGCTCATCACCGTATAACAGTCCACTATGGGCGGCAAAGAAGAAAAGCACGCCGGGAGAACATAAGGAGAAATATCGGGTAGTAATAGATTACCGCAAACTTAACGAAAATACCGTGGATAAAAAATATCCAATCCCGAAGTTTGAGGACACCATAAATAGGTTCAGCGGGGCAACGGTATTTAGCACGCTGGATTTAAAAGCAGGATACCATCAAATTAGAATGCATCCAAAAGACCAGTCGAAGACAGCGTTCACATTCGGGAGGGGGCACTACGAGTTCACTAGAATGCCATTTGGACTCAAGAATGCCCCTATAACATTCCAGCGGCTGATGGATGAGTTTCTAAGGAGGATTGATGAAGCAGTTTGTCAAATCTACATGGTCGACCTGTTGAATAAGCGTTGGGGGCCGTGTTATCGTCGAGAGACGTGAGGCAATTCCTGAGGGAGTGGAAGCCAGAAGGAGAGGGAGGACAGGTTGTAGAGGAAGATGAGGATGGAGATGATTCCCAAGATGAGGGGAGCCCAGCGGAAGAGAGGTCAGCAGACATGGAAGAGCTGGAGGAGATTATTAACGACAAAAACCGCCAGATCATCTGGAAGACCAGTACATCGGGCCTAATGAAAGTACAATACGGTAAGTACGGAAACAGCAGAATAACCACCATTTGGTCACAGCTAGGAGCGAGGGAAGACCAGATTTGCAGAGCTCTGAAAGACGCTTCGAAGCCAGGGAAAACTCACCAGTTGAACGTAGGGAACGAGACAATTTGGGAGAAAATAAAGAGAATATGACGGTCTGAACGAATAGGGCTAGACAGAACGTTCATTCGTTGAAATTGATGGTGGGCAAAGAAGGAGGTGACGCTTGCTTACCACCAAGGCTAAACTAATCACCGCGGAGCGCAAGAGACATTCCAGGCGTTGCGTCGTAGATATTTTTGGTAGGGAATGAGGAAAACAATAAAGGAACTCATAGAGGGGTGCGAGGTTTGCTTGAGTACAAAGTATGATAGGCACCCTCCAAGAACAATGCAAGAGGATACACCCACAGTTGATGCACCGCTGAGTGATTTGCAAGTGGATACGTTCACGTGGAGAGGGTATAAGTGGGTCACGTTTAGTAAAGCAGACATGTTTAGTAAAGCAGCGATGGCGTATCTGGTGCAGGATCGATCGGCTGAGACAGTATTAGGAGCCCTTCAAAGGTGGTTCCAGTTTTATGGAGTGCCCGATCGGATAACGTCCGACGGTGGTAGAGAATTTGATAATACCAGGATCAGAAAAGAAATGAAAAACTTAGGTGTAAAGTGGTATCTCAACACTCCAGGTCACCCCAAGAGCAGGGGAAGTATAGAGAGACTGCACAGTACTCTCAGCGACCATTTAAGAGTATACCAGGTGGAAAAAGGGCTGAAACCAGATATGGCAATGCGGAAGGCAGTGGCAGCATATAATCACTCCATACATACCACAACGGGATTCTCACCATTTGAAATTCTCTTCGGATTATGCGGGTGACAACGGGACTGTGGGGGCACAGCTGCGGACTAGGAAATGACAGGGAGAATAGTTAATAATAAAATAGAATTTGGTAATCTATGGGAGAAAGTTAAGAGAAAAATAGAGAGAGAAAAGCGCAAAAGAGTGGCGCAGGAAAATTTAAAGGTAAAGGAGATAACAGGAGGATTAAAAATCGGGTCCATTGTTTATCGCAGGTTAGGCTCTAATAGGGGGAAGGAATTACGGAAATATGAGGGCCCTTTCAAGGTGATAATCATTAGGGAACATAATGTTGTGACCATTGAGAGTATCAAAGAACCGAAAAAAAGGACGGTTCACATAGAACAGTTAAAACTCCCAATTTCAGAGCCAGAACAGCTGCAGAATTGGAGTGCCCTTGTCTCCGGAAACAATAATTTTTTTTTTGTATTTATGTGAGGAAAAGTGCAGTGCAACACTGAAGTGTATTTCGTTTAGAGATTTAATGGGTGTTAGAAATGTAAAGAGAAAAGTGTATTTTTATTTTTATTTTTTTTATATATAGAATATTTTTTTGTTTGTTTTGTGTTTAATTATATTAGATTGTAAGTACTGAACACTGTGTTTCACCTTTGCTACAGTGTGTGCAAGAATATCATGTTGGTTTTATATATATATATATATATTTTATTCTTTTTTTTTATTAGTAGCCATTTTACGAAGAGTATCCGTAAACTGGTGGGGGAAGTTAAGGTACAGAGGGGGACAGTATTAGCGCTAATACCAAAAGCATTGATGCAAACAAGTTCAGAATGTATATAAAGAGAATTAGAAGGAACAATAAAGCTGTCTTGATTCTAACTTCATTCCAGCGTTTCATTTCATAAACCTATTCCTTTTTTTTTAATTTTTTCAAGTCCGTTACACTTAACTTATATATATTAATTTTTTTATTTCCTTTGCTGAAACTGAGAAAAGAAAATCAATGTTATGCATAACATTACTCATGCTTGATACAGAGAGGTTTAAAAATAAATAATTCAAATAGCTAAAGATTCTCTTTAATTAGTATTACATTGGTTCAATACAAGTTCTGAATAAAAAATTCATGACTGCTACATTAAACAGGCAAATTTACGTTGTTCTTTTTTCTTAAAAAAGGGATTTTGCAATTCACAGAAGTTGATTTATATTCCCTTAAATCATTTTTAATATCACCATTTTTTTTTCTTTGCTTACAACCTTAGATGGAGACATATTTTATTTAAATGTACAAGGCATTTTAGAAATAATATAGACAAGATTATATTTTATAATATTACTAAAGGATTTATGTGATTCAATTTAATATTTTCTATTAAATATTATCAGCTAAAAAAAGCAGTCATGTGCACCTTTCAATACCATCTATCTCATGTCTGTCATTAATGTTAACAATACTTTTTCTGAAGTCTCTCTTTTAAACCCTAATCTTTATTTTTGTAATTATTATTATTATTATACAATCAGTTTTCAGGTAAATATTGACTTTGGGTTGAAAATGGTGATTAATTCTACAATGGAATCCTAAATTTTTCTGTAGTATCTATTTCTATTTGTACTATAGCTTAAAACTAACTATAAAATACAAACAATGTTAAAAACTGGAAAACAGTTCAGATTATATAAAAACAAGTAATAGTAAGCCATTTTACAATACTTTATTTTGATAAGCTGAAAATAAACGAATGTATTTATAATATTGCTTTTATTCATTTAGTTGGTTAAAACACTGAAACAATTCTTGTTTCATAAGATAAAACTTTTATCATAATCGTTTATCAGTTAATACTATGCTACAAAGTAACATCAGTGATGTATAAAAAAACGATAACATTGCTTAGCACATCAATCACTTTTATAAAAAAATAAAAAAAAATAGCAATTATAGTACAGGCACAATGAATGCTATTTTACATGTGTAGAATTAACCTCTAATATTGTTAATGATAGGAAGAACATTCTTACATAGTTTTAAATTTTTATACATAAAAAACTGTCTTTGAAACAGAACCTAAGTCATTATAAAGATTAAAAGCTAAAAATAATTTTTTTTTTTGAAAGTTGAAAATAAAGTTGTCAAAATTTTAAGATTGAAGAGAAATTAATGCTCATTCATATTAACAGCCAAATTTATAAAGTAAGACAGTTCTTTCTTTTCATTACCTAGTTCTTAGCACTTACTACTAATGTGTAATGGGAGTAGTTATCACTTATATTAAGAAAATAAAATATATTTTCTTTAATATCATTTATTTTTTCTTAATTTCATGCGTACTTAATATATGTATCAAAGTTCTAGAAGTGTTTATTAAAAAACCTGCCAGCTCTAATTGTTAAAAGCCCATGCTATATAAAGTTTATTATTTCTAATATAAATGCTAATTTAGCGAATACATTTCATCTAACCTATAATCATTCTCATTTAAATTTCTTAACATCATAAATACAAAAAAACTAGACTATTTAAGATAAAAAACAGTTTTTAGCCGGCACTCAATGTTGGAAGAAGCATTTACAATAATCTTTATAATATTCACATACATATTAATAAATAAAGTAACCATACTCGATAAAATATTTACAATATCTAATCTAAACTTAGCCTAATTTCCCTACAGAGCATTAAAAAATATAATATCCACAAAATAAACAAGAAAAAAATACTAAAAAGCAAAAGATAAAAAAATATATATATGTTTAACACATAATTGAATCATATGAGATTCCCGCATGTTTTCATCAATCTAAAAAAATAACAGGATATAAAGAAGTATATATATATTTACTTTTCAAACAGTAGTGGAACATATAAGACAAATTTGGACAATGAATATCATTTAGAAATTGAATTGAAGTGTACAAATATTAATCTGTTATTTTTTATTAATTCATTGAATCAATAAAAATGGCAATGCATAACAGTGAAAAAGGGTTATTATTTAAATTTATTATATAGTTAAACTTTAATTTTCATTCAATAATGGTGAAATTGGGGAGAAAAAATTTTTTATTTTTTAATAGTAATTTCAGATAATAAAATAAATATTTTTGGTCAATAAAAGTATTGGTGAATTATTACATTTAAGCTTATTCGATGATTGAAAATACAACTGCTAATAATATTTCAAACTCTAGGTTCATAATTTAAAAACCTGGACTTTTGTACAACTTGAATGAGTGATTAAACCTAACCATATAATTAAAAGACATAAAAATAACAAAAACAGAAATGGCCATAATTAAATCAAAACTTAAAATATAAAACATTTAAAAGCATACATTTATTAATTGCTCTTTGTGAAATGTTCTGATTATTCACTAATATGTTTTCAGTCTTTTGTATGTTTATATAACTGGGCCATAGCATGATTAGTATACTTGAAGCAGTAATGAATTTTATAAATATTTTCATTTATACAATTATTAAATTTTTGTTAAAAGAATTTTTTTCTTAAAAAATATGAAAGTTTAAAAACTATTCAAACCAATCTTTAATATCTACCTGATTATTAAAAAACTGCAATATGTAAACCAATTTATTAAAAAGTTTCCAATTGTTCCACTGGTTGAAAAACAAAAAGTAATGAATATTTTTTTTATTAAAAAGAAAATGTCATTTAAGTAATTTCATCCCTACATGTGGTATGTATGTATGATCGTACCTATGTGTGTATACAAAAACAGACACACACACATACATGTACATACATGAATAAATTACCTATTTATCATATATTTACATTTTACAGTTAAAATAGAATTAAACCATAGATATTCTTCATGGGTTATTTTTGATTTTTCTGTCTTTATTTTTTTTTATTTTTACCAAATAAACAAAATTTAAGTAAGAAAAAAATATTCATCCATAATTTGTAATATTTTTTTTATTTTTCCTATTTTTCTCTTATTTTTTCTTTTATATTTTTATAATTTATCCAAATCCAATTGTTTTGCTATATCTATTTATAACAGTAAATGCTTCTTTACAAATATAGTATCATATGAAGTGATTTAATTTCACCACTACATCATTCTAGCTAACATACAACTTTTGGTGCCATAAAGTGCATCTCATTATATCACAAGATTTCAACAGATATTTACTATGATATAGTCAGAATAGTGAGTATATAAAATGCAGTGCGCCCATAGCCATAGTCATTGGTAACTTCTATAATAACAAAATCAGCAACCAGAAACATTGCTTAGCAAATATAATTAAGATCGAAGACTGTGTAATATACATATAAAATTTAAAAAGGGTGCACCAAAAAAATTTTTTTTTATAAAATCTGTACATGCGATTAATGAATTAATAAAATAATAATAATATGAACTTATCAGTCTTGTTTACCTATATTTTAAAAACTATAAGATTGAATGTATATATGTATACATATGTACATATACATATTTTTTATATACACACCTAGTAACTATTATTAAATACTATTTGCAAAAAGTTAACATATCTATAACTGCCCTGTTCATTTATTAAACATTATCTATGCGACAAAATAATCAGAAAGCTTTCTATCATAATTTTGAATCATTCAATAGTCACTTGTGCTTATCACATGACAAAGAGCTATCAATACAATAGCACTGCTTTAAATAACTCTAATATAACAATCATGTAAATATATATAATTTTCTATATATACATTTCCATAAATCTAAAATAGTATTAATATTAATCATACCATAAAATTAATGCTTTTCTACTGGACGAGTTGCACACAACAGAAGCGTCATGCAAAATAAGTCAAAAAGTAATATGTATACAATGGATATTTTTCTGTTTAAAGATCTATTTACATAGTCAATGTTCATAATTATAATGTAACAATTGGAAATCTTTGGAGTGATATTTATGCACTAGTTTATTACCACCTACATGAAAAAATGCCTTAGATCAATGCCATTCAAAAGTTAAATATTAGAATCTAAATAAATGTTTCTACTTTTGAATAAATATATATGTACAGAGAAAAAAATGTAATCAAAATATCGACTAATGTTACATTTATTATTATCACTACAGAATTTTTAATAGATTTCGGTCCATAGTTGTGTGAAAATAATAAATTAACAAAACTTCATCAAACGATTGCCTTGTTGCAGTAGTCCTACATTTCACTTGGAGGTATATTTTAAAGTTATTCTGCGATAAAATCAAAATAGGATATGTTAAAATAAAATATACTAAAGTTAAAAATGTGCAACCCCTTACAACTTCAACAAATATCTATAATTGATCTTTATTTTCCTGATTTAATTACTAGTTGATTGCTAATGGACATTGGATTCTGACCCTACTTTAACCTAACCATATTTTTTTTGTTGTAATTTTAATTTATTTTTAATGTGGCCTGATAAAAATCTGTTCTTTGGAAATCAATTTACATTTCAAATATCGTTATACATTTAATATTCTTACAAGGGGGGGGTAATAAATATATTTAATAGTTTTACACACCTATACATATAAATGTTTAATTTTTATACATAGAACTTCCACAAAAAGGCACAAGTAAAATATTTGTTCTATTACATGCAATGCAATTATTTCTAACCAATAGGAAATAAAATATGTATGATCACAGTATTGATTTTATGTTGAACATATTTATTTTATACCTTTTCTTGTTGTATGTTTATGGAATAATCCAAAATTATTAAATCGCAAAAGAGAGAAATCAACAATGCCTGAACAGGCTAACCACACATCTAGTTACAAACTAACTGTCAAATTCAACAAGAAGGCAACTGCGAGTTACTATTTGCAGTCAGCTGAAAACTAAGTCTTCCTAAAGACAGTGCTGCTTAATACACAGAGACTTACAAATATTAATTTCTTCCATGACTGATCTTTAGTATGTTGGATGAACTACCAAACAACTACAATTTAAAAGAAGATTCAGAGTAAAATTGAATATTTATCAAGCGATCAATGAAAACATGAAAGATTAAATCCTCCTTTCAAATTAGTAATTTATTTTTCTATTCAATTATTCAAGTTATTTGAGTAGCATTATAATAAAGGCTAAGTCCAACCTCATTAAAATATCCTATCATGTAAACATTTGTAAGCCAATGTTTATTAACAACAAAATTTGGCACTTGGCAACTGGTCCAGGATTCACGCTCTGTATATATAGCTGCATGGCTGTGGTGGAGTGTCTGGTGGGGAGGGGCTAGAGGAAGGAGGAGATGGGGAAGAACTGGAGGGAGGGGAGCTGGCCAGGGGATGCCTTCTGGCGCGCCCTGGCAAGCTTCGACCACCCTCCCCACCTGTCTCTCAGAGGTAAACTTTCTTTACAGATCGAGTAGTCCCAAAACCATCACGATATCCCATACCCGCACAGTCAGTCTGAAACAAAAATAAATAATTAAAATGTACAAATAATTTATACACTATAATTGATACAGATTTACATTGTTTAACTGGAAATTATAGGAATAGCAGCAATTATAAATTAATTTATATGGAATTATAAGAAGGCTTCTAAATTAAACATGACAATACAAATATTTCTAAAAGAATTATTAGAGAAATTATTATATATTTAAATAAGTTATTTGTATGATTCTGCTTGAACTAATGCTCTAAATTTTGCAATCCGAATTTCAAAATGTTATGGACTTTTCTGTGCTCCAAAAAGATGTGTGTTTTAATGTGACATTGGAAATAAAACAATTGCAAGATCTAATAAGTATTTATAAAAATTATAGACCAATTAGTGTCCTCAATATTCTTTCTAAAATTTGAAAACAAATATTAAAAACAATAAACAAAGTAATATCTCCCAACAATCTCATTAATAATGCACAGTTTGGGCTTAGAGCAGGCTTTTCTGTCAAACCCAGATTAATGAATTATGCCGCTAAAAGGTTTTAACAAAAAGAAGCATAGTGGGATAATCTTAATACATACCATCAAAGTTTGAGGCAATTCGTCCCAATGGATTAGTATACAAACTTATTGACTACTGATTCTCTCCCTGCATCATACATCCTATTTTCTATTCATACCTCACCCAACAGATATTTTCTAAACAAAATTAACAATACTATATCTTTCATTAATTTCCTATTGGTCATTATTCATTAAATTTCTAGTGGTCTACTCCAGGAACCTTGCCTTTCTCCAACTCTTTATAACCACCTGTGTATATTCTTCTAACATTCCCATCAGTTGAAAGATCATTATATAAATGCAGATGATACAGCCACTTACACCAGTTTCTAAAGAATAGAAAGATAATATATATATATATATATATATATATATATATATATATATATATATATATATATATATATATATATATATATACATACATACATATATATTCTTCTTCTTCCTTCTTCCTTCGAGCGACCAATAATATTTATTTCTGTTTTCCGTTTCCGTTCCTTGCTTGTATTTCTTCTTTCATTATGTTATCGTTGATTAAAATTGTACCAAGATACATGAATTTATCTATACTTTCAAAAGTACATCCCCCATGCAATATACATCCACTTGCTGCACCTTTCCTGAATGATATCATATATTTCATTTTGCTTTTGTTCATTATGAGCCCTGCCTTTCTAGCTGCCTCTTCACATTTCATAACTATCTTTAAGAGCGAATCTCAATTTCTTCCCGTTATGACTACATATGCTGTTATTGCCATATGCTAGGCATTGAGTCATATTGTTATATATACATCCTTTGTCCTTTATTTCAGCTGCCCTTATAATCCTCTCAAGCACCCAGTTAAATAATAGTGGGGATAACGGATCCCCCTGTTTGACTTCTTTTTCAATGACAAAGTCTCTGGAATCTCCCTGGGCCTGTACTAACCTGTACTGTTTTGCAGGTTCATCCTTACCAGTCTAATGAGTTTTTTAGGGCAACCTAAGATCCTTAAGTTTTCATAGGACTCATTTCTTTCTAAACTATTTTGGCGGCATATTCCTGCCTGCCATCAAACCTGTAGTAGATAACTGCCCCCCCACATCGGCCTAATAGTTCACCTTGCCGCTACCTGGCAGCGCCGCACCTGCACGCTTACTCAATGTATCCAAAAATTGTATTATTATTTTCATTATTTTATTATAAAATACTCAAGTTCTAAATTGTAAATATGTATGTACATTGTAAATAATTTTTAATAATAAATTTGATTTGAACACGCTTTGTAGAGTTATTCTGATCACTGTACAAACTATACAATACCTCAACTATTGGTGACCTCGACGTGATCATGAGCCGCTACAGTTACAGTTATTTTTAAGCTTTGATCAGTATACCTTTTCGCCATTAAACTTTATTATTAAAAATTATTCACAATGTACATACATATTTACAATTTAGAACTTGAGTATTTTATAATAAAATAATGAAAATAATAATACAATTGTTGGATACATTGAGTAAGCATGCACGTGTGGCGTTGCTAGGTAGCGGCAAGGTGAACTCATTAGACTGGTAAGGATGAACCTGCAAAACCTGCAAACCATCTCAGCACCACTTGATTGGTGGGATAACTTTAGTTCAAAGTATCTGCACCAGTTGAATGCCAAGTGAGGCTAGTTGGCAGGATGTCTCTATGTTTTTGTCTTGAGGACGATGGTACCAATGAAGAGCAGATACAGCAGGCGTTTGTTGCATTTGTTGTAGTAGTCAAGTTGGGCTTGATTTAGCAGCAGAAACGAGTTCCTTTTTTTTATGAGGATATTCTACTGGTTATGTGAACCTTAGGTACTTTGTGATGACTAAGAAATTTAAGGGCTGGATTAACCTTGAGTGTTAGCTTGTAAGTTATTGGTTCTTGCTCCTATTTATTTGTTTGAGTGGAGCTGTGTTATGAGGCTTCAGGCTGGTTGAGATCGTTGCTTCAGCTTGAAAGCTAGAGCTGTCTAGGATTCTTCTTTGTCCTGTGGGTGTGTTTCCTAACACAAGCATAGTTTTTTGCTGAGCTTAGCCTGGTCTTGAAAGTTGTGACTGTGCTGAAGATTTTAGAGTAAATGCTGAGTTTGAAGCAGGCTTTGTTCCTCAGCTGTCAGCTGGTTCATCATACAGATCTTTTTTTTTTTTTTTGGAAGTTCTTGTAGTGCACTCCTTTGTTTGTTTCTATAATCCTCTTTGCCATCTTCTTCATACTGAGAGCATGTCGCATAGTGGTTCAGAGGTGGAAAAAAAAAAATGAATGTATTCTAATCACTAATCTTTTTGTATCATATTATCAGAGATGGGCATATTAAAAAATACAAATACTTATGGCACTTTTGAATATAAATATGAATATATTTATATTCATAAAAAAACAAGAATACAGATGATACTTATTCACAGCTGTAAATATAAATACGGCCGTATTCACTACTTTAAAAATGAATACGGCTGTATTTACAGTTGTACAAATGAATACGGCTGTATTCGTGTTTATTAAAATGAATATGCTTAAATTTACAGAAGTAAATGGAAATATATTCACACAGCCTTATGAATGAATACTCTTATTTATTAAATAACACCCTGAAAGCCTCTCCCTGATTTGGGTGTCACAGAACAATTCCAAAAAAAACAAGGAGCTTCTTCGAGGAAATAGAGGTTGATTAACTAAACAAGGGACCACATTTGGCAGAAGTTAAAAGGAAAACCATAGTAGCCTTCTGGCAGGTAAGACGTGTTTTAGGCATAACTTGGGGTTTTAATCCTAAAGTCATGCATTAGATATTGTAACGTTCCCTTAAGCCACGCTAGGGCGCCATTTTGTAACGTACCCTTTGTCAACATAAATCAAAACAACGAGTTTCCTTTTTGAATATCTATTTATTTATTTTAACACATATAACATAAATCTCAGGTTGGGTTCTGACAACTGAACACTCATTCAACATTAAATAACTATAATTTACTAATTACTAAATACACATAAAGAAACGAGATACATACATTAAGAAATACTACATTCAAAAACCTTTATTGTCCCAGTCTAAACTTTGTGGCTCTTTCTATTTTCTCAGCTTGCTGGCTAGTACCTTCTCTCTTGGCAGCTCGTCACCTTCCCTCTTGACAGCTTGTCACATTCTCTCTTGGCCGCTATCCCCTTCTCTCTTGGCGGCCCGTCACCTTCTCTCCTGGCGGCCCGTCGCAGTCTGAGTTACATGAGGCTTGCTTCCCCCACCATCCGTACCGTAGTTCATGCTGTTGCCACTTTCGCGCCACTATTCATATGCCATGTAATGTTGACATTACAATATATACGGCAACAATTAGACCTAGAATACAATATAGAAGCATGGTGTGGTGGGTAGCCCTAAATAAAGCCTATTATATGTTGCAAAAACATCCTGTTACCCTAAAAATTGACACTCAAGTATATGCTCAAAAATTTTGGAAAATATGTTAAGTATATATGGATCCCCACTCCTGGTAATAGCTGGTAATGAGTTTGGAGATGTAATGTCAGGTAATGACTGTCAAAAAAAGCACGCAAGCCCAAGGTCGAGGTACTAACATCTTAATCCCAACAGAAATGAGTTTTTTTTCTCAAAAAGGAAATATCGCATAGTTGGTTGTACATGTAGGATGAAAGTCCACTGAGCAAATTAAAAGCTATTAAAGAATCAGTAAGACTCTGGACCACATCAAATCGCCTTAATCACAGAGAAGAGGTTTCCATAACTAGGTGAGAATCGGTCATGCAAATCTAACTCATTCATATCTAATCAGAAAACAATCATTACCAAGATGCCAACACTAGAATAGTTCTCTCGCAGTCAACATTACTTTTCAAAAATTCCCTAATTGCACTGCAAGCCTAAAAGAATCATCTTTGAGACCAAAAACATCAATGATGAAAGAAACATAAAAAAAACAGTATTAATTTGTTTTTAAAACCCATAGACTTGAATAAAATACAGAATTTTTTTTTTTTTGGACAACAATAAATGATATGTAGGCATTGGTGACTTGAATTTTACAAACAAAGAAACTGTAATAATTAACTGTAATAAAAGTAAAAGAACCTTTGAAGCATCCCTCTGAGATCTTAATGTGCCAAAATGATCTCGATTTGGTCTTGCATAAGGGGGATTGTAATTTTCACTAAACTGAAACAGGTTTTCATTTTTTCTGAGTGTTGCTTTTGGTGAATTCATAGTCTTATTTGGAGGTACTAGAACTGGTTCTGCATAAGTGACTTCTTCTTGTGGTAACAATTTAGGTTCAGCAGGCATTCTCCTAAAATAATGAAAATGGTAAGTTATAAAATCATAACACTTTAATAATAATAAATTATTTTCTATCTAACTCAAATTATATACTTTCATATAAATGAGAGTAAAGTTTAAAAAATAAAGTAAAAACAATAATTATAAGTTTTTGATATGATGGAAGATTCTAAACAAAAACCTCCAACCCCTCAAATCACACTCAAAAACTAACCAGTTAATATTTCACCTTAAAAATACAACAAATAAATAAATAATAGAATTAAAACAAATGCTATCTTTATTTATTAAGTCAACATTAATTATTTATATCGATAATTGACTGCATTATTTATTAAAGGTTTAATAATTGTGATTTAGCTGTATTTTGAAGTCTTAATGCCTGAAAATGCCTGATCAACAAAAAATATAGCTTAATTATTTAAATGTGAACAATTAGTACAATAATGCATGTGATTAAATATTTTAGATTATGTAGTTAATTAAGCCTATTAAATATTATTATTATTTATAATTAAAAATAAAATATAATAATACTTTGTTTGTATTAATTAATTTAAATGAAATATTGAGAGCGATGTTTTCAGATGGATTAGTAATAAACAATTAGTCTATTCAACCAAAAAAAAAAAAATTTTCTTATTAGATTATAAACTTTTATACTTTCCATTGCTTATCTTATTGATGATTAGGAAATATTGCATACAAATAATAATACAAAATAGTGATTGTAAATACTAGGTTGTTACAAAAGTCTTTGTGCACATTTCATATTATATAAGCTACATTTCATATTACATATTTTAAACATTATTGAATACTACTCTTCAAAGTAATGCCGGGACCATTGCTTTGGTTTTGAGGCAAAGAATTCTTCACATCCAGTTTTTAAGTTCTCATTATTAACAAAGAAATGAGCCATTGATCTAAACAAACCATAATATGATGGTGCAATATCTAGGCTATACACAGTATGAGGCAAAACGTATACTGCTTGCAGTTCTGATAATAACAATAATAATAATAATTTTTCCTTGGTCAAATGAGAATGATATACAGGGCATTGTCATGTTGCTTGCAAATTAGCTTGGTTCCTGTCAGTGCCACCAGCTTTAGGGTAGGGCAACCCGGACAATCCCCCAGGACCCCGACCGGATGCGAGTTTACATATGAAACTCACTGCTGGGCTGAGGTCTTTGCAAGTCATGTGGGTTGAACCTCGTTCTTAAATTCGAAATACCCAGGTTTTTAAGATGATAAGCCACTGTAGCATTTGAAGCCCTTAATATGGCCGATAAATCAGAAGTAATTGCATGTGGTTTCTGGTTCACACATTCAAGAAGAACACCATCATCAACAACCGATGGGCGACCTGATCTGTTTATCTACAAGGCTCATATTCCCATTGTTTAAATGCCTGAACCAAAGTATGGCAGTATTCTGAAGGATAACTAATTCTCCTTCAATGGTTGACATTTCTTCAGTGGCTGCTTTTGTGCTTAGACCTTTTTTCCAGTAAGTCAAAATACCACGAATCATGATTTTTTCTTCTGACATTATAGGTGTGTTTCAAAAATATAAATAACCCCATAAGGCCAACTCAAGTCACAAGGAATTAAAGGATTTATCAAAGTAAACACTTTGACATAAATAGTAGGAATAAAAACATTCTTATAGGATTAATTATGAGTTGAAATATAGAGTTGCGTTCATGCATTAGGACTTTTGTAACAACCAGAGTTTGAAATTGATAATATTTTCCACAAAATCATGTAATAATTATTATATTTGATTTTTAAATTTAAAATAATGACTGGTTTATAATTAAAAATTTAAATCGATCTTTGATGTTTATTGATTTGATTAAAAATAATGATCACTCACTCAGCAATATGGTTTTACGTAAATAATAATAATTACATTTTTATAAAAACAATTTTTATCAGAAAATAAAAATTATCTTTTACACAAAAATTAAATAAAATATTAATATTAACCCTGGAAACAACTTAGTAATTAGAAATTCTTAAGAAGCTATTAAAGAAAAAATGATAATGGAAATTTATAGGACAATCTATAATAAGAAAATACACCAACTAAAAACTTGAATTAACTAAAACTTACAAATTAACATTTTGTCTTTGTTCAAAGTATTCATATTCAGTGTCAGGATATGGTAAATTATCATCTTCATCCTTATGACATTTGCGGCCACAAAGGTAACCAGAAACAAATCCTACTAGCAGAGCAGCCAGTGAAGCAGCCACAACAGACATAGCCATAGTTTCAACAGTGTAGTGAAGTGCTGAACTATCTGCAGCACTTACTTCAGGTACTATAAACAAAAAAAAAGTATTAATCAATGCTATCTAAAGTACTGGGTCATATAAAATTTAAGAATAGAGTTCAAAACAAAGTAAAGTAATGAAAAAGTAAAAGAAACAATATCATACAATTATTTTTAAATTGTGAAATTTAAGAATGTTGTATATTTAATAATTCTTAAATATTAAAATTAAATTGAATTAGGAGTTTTGATCGGTTTTTAGATAGTTTATATACATTTTAGTATGTCTATAAACAACTCTAAAATCTTTTAAATTTTTTTCTGTTTAAATTTATTTGAACCATCAGTCTCGACGCCAGGCGCTTCAGGCTTCCCAATCTAAGCCTAAAACCGCTAAACCTCAGCCTCAACCTCCTTGTCAGCAAATCTCTCATCTACCCTTAAGGGTCAAACTCCCGCCAGAGCATCCACACCCAGTTCCATCCGTTACTAATGCCAAGATAAACCTCCCATCACAAACCCAACATAATTTAGATCCAACACCCCATACCACACTTCATGCACATCCTCCTCCCAACAATCCTAGTCACATAAATTACCCATCACATCCTCCTGACCTAAATCCACTTCACACCCAAAAACCATCCGACATCAATTCTATCCTTTCTACATTCCTGATAGATCTTCAAGCGACTATCAAACCGCTCATTACCCTTCTCACTAGAATCCTTTCCGAAATCCCGTTCAACTTTCCTCGATGAACACAAAGCCCCTAGCTATCCTTTTATGGAAAGCTAATGGACAACTTAATCACCGAGACGAACTAGACTTATTTCTCTATGACAATCACATTGACATTGCCCTTGTGACCGAAACCCATTCACTCAGCGGACACATTTCCACATAGATGACTACATCACTTACAGATCTGACCACCCAGATAACTCTTCCCACGGTTCCTGCATCCTTATCCATAAATCTTTATCCCACTCCCTTATTCCTTCCACTCCAATTGATGCCATTCAATTAACTTCTGTAGTCCTTTCAACTATCCCTTTCCATCTCACATTCTCAGCTGTTTCCTGTCCTCCTGGTAATTCCATCCTCTATAACCTCCATGAATCCTTATTCCAATCCCTCAGATCGCACTTTATTGCTGGAGGAGACTAAAATGCTAAACACCAACGATGGGGTTGTTGAACATCCAACTCCCGAGGTAACATCCTATCATGTGTCTCATCTTCCAACAGTTATTCAGTCCTCTCGCCCATGAATCCTACTTATTGACCAACATGCCTAAAAAAACATCTCGATATTCTGGATATATTTATCACCTCCCAGATTTCCTCCTCCCAAACCATAATCAAATCCCTGGATGATCTTTCCTCAGACCATAGTCCTGAACTGCTTTCACTACTTCAAACTATTACCATTACCTCCTAAATTGATTACAGGAGGAGTAAATTGGGACAAATTTCGTGATGATTTAGAAAACAAACTAGACTTAAAAATTCCTTTAAAGAAAAACCATGGTTCTATGGTGCCATAGAAAAACTTACATCAATAACAGACAGTATAAATAATAACATCTCTATTAGAAAGATTAACAATTTACAAAGGACTAACTTGCCACAGCATATTCATATCTTATTGCAGGAAAAATGCAGAGCAAGATCGAAGTGGCATAGAACTAGATATCCAACAGATAAAACTCATTACACCCAACTGACTAACAAACTAAAATCAGAAATAAGAAAATACAAGATTCAAAATTTACTGAAAAACTTACACCTATCTACAAATCACAATGGACGACCACTAAAAGACTTCTGAAATTTAAAGAATGTAATCATCCACTTCTTACCGAAGTTTAAACATGTTCCAAATCAGACAAAGAAAAATCACAAATTTTTGCTAACCACATCCTGACTGTATTGATGCAGAACTGGATATTCCCCTCCAAATAACTCTTCCACCTAAAGCCTTTCATCTTTCAGAAATATCCAATATTATTCACAGATTACCCTCCTGCAAAGCTCCTGCCCACGACTTAATCACATCCCATATCCTTAAACTATTTCCTCGAAAAGCCATCCTATTTCTTACCTACATATATAACGCCGTACTCCGCTCCACATATTTTCCTGACCCTTGGAAACTATCTATTGTCAAAATGATACATAAACAAAAAAAGCCACTAGAATACCCATCCTCTTACCGCCCCCCTATCTCTCTTTTACCCATCATGAGGAAAACCCTGGAAAAGCTCATCTTAAAACACCTGTATCCCATCCTAGATTCTAACCTCATAATCCCTGATCACCAAATTGGATTCTGCACATCCTATTCCACTATCCATTAATGCCATCATGTGGTAGACGTTGTTTCCTCTGCATTGGAGCGTGGAATGTATTGCACTGGAGTCTTTCTCGACATTGAAAAGGCGTTTGATCGAGTCTGGCACCCGGGATTGCTTTACAAACTCTGTAAATTTCTCCCCCCTACATACTTTCTCATCATCAGTTCCTATCTTACTGATAGACACTTCAAAGTAAATCACAATAATGCCTATTCATCCCTCTTCTCTCTATCTGCTGGTGCTCCCCAAGGTAGTATCCTTGGTCCTATCCTTTACACAGTTTATACAGCTGATATCCCAACCCATCCTAATACTGTCATCACCACGTATGCCGATGAAGCATGTATTCTTTCAGTTAATAACAATCCATCAATAGCATCCCAAACTCTTCAATCACGCATCACAACCCTTGAAGAATGGTATCAAAACTGGAGGATTAAAATAAATCCCATCAAATCACCTTTATCCTTCGTCGTAAACCAATGACTTCCTGTCCTACAGTATCCTTTAATAACACCTCACTTATCCATGTTAAACAAATCCGATACCTAGGACTCCACCTGGACAAACGTCTCACTTGGAATCCTCATAGTAGGCTGAAACGACAAGAAATAGCTTGATGTTTCCGCTTACTCCAGTACTTACTAAACAAATGATCTAAGCTTCTAATTTATTACAAAAGACTCATATACTTCACTATAATAAGACCTAGTTGGACTTATGGAGTTGAGCTATGGGGCTCCACTAAACCATTGAATTCCTCTCGTATCCAATCCCTACAATCCAAAATCCTTAATGCTCCTTACTTTGTCACAAATAAAATAATCCATAAAGACCTTAATGTTCCATGTTTCCTTCCTTTAAATTCCTTTGGGAATTTTTAAATACTAAAATTAAATAGAATTAAATAGTTTGGTAGATTTTTTTATTCTGTTGGCTTTAAAGACCTTGTATATCTTTGACCACCTGAATGAGCTTTCTCCACATCTATCTTGGGCTATTACTTTCCAGTTTTCTGCAAACAACTCTGAAGTATCGTTGTTAACTATTAAGCTATTCATCGTTGTGTAGAGGTCTCCTCATGGATCACTCTGAGCTACATGTCCTACCCATATTATTATCTTAGATTTTTTGGCTATATGTGTGTGCGTGTTTTTATTAAGTTATACGGTACAGGATGATATTTGATCGAGAGATAAATGGAGTGCCAAGAGGCTAGAAAAATATTCTGTCTCAGAGAAGAATTTGCCTTCTTGAAGTCACCATACCAAGAGCCCACCTCACTTAGCTCCCTTCCCATTGTCAAAGGGTTATTGTTCAGATAACTCCTTTTGTTTATAGTTTCAGATTTAGATATGATTAAACCATATTAAAATACTTTTACAGTGAAAAAAATTACATTTAATTTTGTAATGTATTAAGTGTTTGATCCAAAATATTTTTAATTAATAGCAATTAATATATAATTTTTTTAGATACTCTATGCTACAATTTTTAAAAATAAACGTAATTAGATAAACTAAAACATACCAATAAAGTTGTTTCCATCCTCATGAGTAATTGTAATAACTTCTCCATCCCCATTATGCTTACCTCCAGCAATATCAGGTTTTGGGAGAGATGCGGAATAACCCACACTGCTTGCATCTATTTTTCTTCCAGCTAACAAAGAAAATTGTTTAGCATTATTAGCACACACACACACACACACACACACACACACACACACATATATATATATTCTAAATTTCAGAAAACATTATCATTTAATTTTTGGTTTAAAGCCTAGAATACTAAATAATTTTCTTAATTCAAATGCCAATAATACTAACTTTTATAAAACCAAAACAATTTAGCATTTTATAATATTTTTTTTAAACCACTAAAGATAAGATGAATGTTCTATCACACTTCAACTTAGAAAAAACCTATATAGTACAATTTGATTGTTCTAATAAAATAATTGTGTGTTGATGGTTGACTGTAATGAATAATGAAGAGAAGGATGGTTTGGGGGATCAGTCTAAATAAAAATGGCCAAAAATAAATAATAATATTCATTTTAACATTTGCCGAATTTTCGACCCGAAGTTCAGGTCTTCATCAGGGCTGAGAAAAGAACCAAATAACAATAGGCATGAGAAACATAAACAATGCAGGTAAAAACACTTAAAGTAAAATGAAGTAGATTAGTGAACATTAAAGTAAAATAAAGTAGGTAGAATAATAACAATAACAAGAACTAAGAAATAAATAATAATAACAGTTAAAAAGTGCAGGCTAATGAAGTAAACATAATCAAAATAAGGTAACATAAGAACTAGAAACGGTAGCCTTAGAATAAAATGTAAAACAGAGAAAAGGAATATGAAGTTATATAAGAAATAAATATCAATAGAAAAATTGAGATATTGTAAATAGAATAGTTTAAATAGAAAATTGAGATATTGTAAAGTCTATCAAAACATACTGACTATGTATAAGGGAATAAAGAGTTAAAATAAAGTAAAAAATGAATGAGCAAATGTATCAATATATACAAAAAGGAGATGGAGATATGGAAAATAGAGTGACAGAGTATGTTATAGATAAATATTATGAATTATTAAATGAAAGTTTAATTGAAAGAGGATGAAAATAAACTGGAGATAGGATATATAAAACAGAGATAATAAAGATTAAATAAATGTTAAGTAATAATGAAGAAAACTTGAAATTAATATATATATATATATATATATATATATATATATATATATATATATATATATATATATATATATATATATATATAATATATAAATAAGATTAAAGAAAACGAAAATTTTTACTTTAAGTTTTTTTTTACCTACATTGTTTATGTTTCTCATTCCTATTGTTATCTGGTTCTTTTCTCAACCGTGATGAAGGCCTGAACTTCGGGTCGAAACGCCAGCAAATGTTAAAATAAATATTATTTATTTTTGGCCATTTTTGTTTTTACTGATCTCCCCAACCATCCTTATCTTCAATATTGAAAATATTTTTTTTAAAGTAAAGAAAAGTAGACTTCAATAAAACTGTACAGCTGCTCAATACTGATACTAATACTCATACTAATCAGTCCCAATCGACAATGTTTAATGAGAGAAAACATAATGGATAGAGTTTTACAGGACTATCATTCAAAGAATTGAATGTTATTATTTATTTCCTTATTGTTATACTCATTTTCTTCCTTCTCACGACTGTCTGTAGAGCTCATAACAAACTTCCCAGCATTTATATATGTGATGGTGTAGTATTCCCGAGTCCAAAACAATTGATTACATTATACTCTGATTGTTCCTTTCCACTTCAACTTTTCCAAAAGCACAGCAGTTGAAGTTGTTATCGAACACTCCCGTCACATTCAGGAACGTGACAGCAGCATCATCTTGTTTACTCTTGGTATCTTTGAGAATTGCTTCAATGATTATTGCGTTTATGTGGCATCCTGGTTGTCCAATCACATAACCTCTCTGGTTAGGGTGAAAAAAGATTTTCTTTCATAGCTCATGGTCAAAAACCTTTTCCATAATACGCCTTATGAATGGATAAATTGTGATGGGTCTCCATGAAGAAATTATGTCATTGACAAGTTTTCCTTTATAAATCAAAACAGTGTGCCCACAATGAAGAATCTCTGGGACATAATCAGATAATTATTATGGACATTTCAGATCGATTTCCATAATCGTTTTAATATGTGAAATGTCCAGATTTTTTATTGTTCTTATCAGAACTCCATCTGGACCTTATGAAGTGTCTAGGGATATATTCTTTATTGCTTTGTGCACATCCTTTCAAATTTATTGTTCCCAGATTCAAAATGTTGGAAGAGGGTGGATAACTCTCCTTTAGATTTTCGTTTTTGTTTTTATAAAGCGATTTAAAATGAGCCTCAATCCTCTCCATTTTGATAAGGCACTGGTTTGGGCTGTCCACGTTCATTATACTCTGGACCACTTTCTTTCTACAATTGTAGTATTTCTACTGGGTCAGGTCATACTGGTACTGCTCTCCCCTTCTCTCTCTGTCAGCCTAGTTCGATCTTTGAGGATTGCTGACCCTTTGTTGCCCCTTGGTCTTCATTTTTAAGTTTTCCTTTCTTCGCATCCGATAGAAGTGCACAGATGGATGTTTCGGACCTGGAAGAGCCTCTCTTATGAATTGATGGAAGTCGTTCATAATTTTATTGATGTTATCTGTATCTAAAGGAGCTTTGAGTTGATTTTTAAATATTGTTGCCCAATTCTTTACTTGCAGCTCAATTACTCTCTCTGCTAGCAGTTCATTGCATTCATCTGCATTTTGACTCTCAATAGTCATAAGTTTAATCTGATTAGCTTCTAGGGAGTCCCTCTTTGCTGTATGAATTGTAAGCCACATTTATTTTTAAATGATAAGTGGCAGATTGAGCATGCCTGAGAAATAAAATTTTCTAGTGTATCTTGCTGTTCAAGATTTGAAACTTCTTTATTAATTTGAGCGATTAAAAATAAATTAATATAAATTCGAGCATTAATTATAAATAAATAGGCATATAAATAAAAAAAAAGGAATAAACAATAGATAGATGGTAATAATAATAAGTACTATAAGGTAGGGGTATGGGTACATAGTTCAGTTTTGGGTTAGGTATAGATTGCACAACAAAGTAATGTAAATTAAAATATTAATAGCTCTTTTTTGCTTCATAAATAATTAGTAAATTGATAATTATGAATTGAAGATAAAAAATAAATAATTATAATATAAAATATCGATTTCAATTTTTAAGAAAAAAACATATTAAACGGATTTGATTAAAATCTATGGTGTAGAATTATATAATACAATCTTTTTACAAATAATAATTTTTAAAAATAATAGTATTTATAACATTGTACAATAAAATGGAGAGAAAATGATTAGATAATAAGGTACACACAATATTGTATTATTAATATTATATAATGTATTATAAAAATAAGTAAGATATAAAAAAATAAGCCCTGAAACATCAAGCTAATAAAGATTAATAAAAATAATATGAAGACCTGATAATTTCTTCCTCTCTCTCTCTCAATCAATTCCTCTTCTGCCGCTAGATCAGTGTAGAGGATCCTGTTTATAGAGCTTGATCCATTTATCTCGTTCCCGCACCAGCTGACTGCGTCTATTCCAATTCATTCCTCTCCTATCGAAATCCTCCCTGACTGAACCTTCCCAGGTCTTTCTGGGCCTTCCTCTCGGCATTCTTCCTTCCACTTTTACTTCATATATAGTTTTGGCCATTCTTCCCTCCTGCATTCTTTTGACATGGCCAAACCAGCGTAGCCTGTTTTCCTCAATTGTGTTTTCTGCTGGTTTTATTCCCAAATTGGCTCTTATCCTTGTATTCCTAATTTTTTCCCTCCTAGTTTTCCCCTCTATTCTCCTCAGAAATCGCATTTCCAATGCTTGGATATTGCTTTTATGTTTTGAGGTTATAGTCCAGGATTCACTGCTGTAAGTCAGTATGGGGACAAATGTATTTCTATACACCGTCTTCTTGACATTTTTTGACACTTCTCTCTTTGCTAAGAAGCCTGTTTTTAGTGAATGGAAGCATTTGCTGGCCAGTTTTATTCTTTCTCTGATTTCACCATCTATCCAACCGTTCTCATTTAGATGGGCTCCCAGATACTTAAAATCTTTGACATGCTCCAGTTCCTCCCCCTTCAATCGAAGTACTCGATCTCCCCTCTCTTCTCCTCTTCCTATCCTCATAATTTTTGTCTTGTGGCTGTTTATTTCCAGGTTGAACAGTTCTAATTCTTCCTGCAGGATTCGGAGGTTGTATTGGAGGTTTCTTCCGTTGTTCCCGAATACCACGATATCGTCGGCATATGCCAGAAGGGTGAGATGAACTGGTCGTAGCTCTCTGTGGCCCAACCTAAAAGGTCTCATTCTTTCCTTAGCTCTCTTCAGTGCCATGTTGAGCACTATTATAAACAATAAAGGGCTTAGACTACAGCCCTGCCTTATTCCTTGGGTGCTCTGAAACTCCCTAGAGGTGTGGTTATTGGTTCTGACCAAGCTTATTTTCTTTTTATATAGGCTAAGAATGGCCCTCGCTAGGCCTGGATCGACTTCATGCTCATTCAGTGCTCTGTCTATGTCCGTTTTCCTGACCTTATCGAATGCTTGGGGTAGGTCCACGAAGCAGGTATATACCTCTTTATTCTTTTCCATGAGCTTTTCCGAGAGCTGCCTCATTACGAATATTAAGTCTTGGGTACTTCTTTGTGGTCTGAAGCCGTATTGTTCTTCTTCTAGGTCTGTCTCAATGAATCCTCTTAGTCTCTTCTCCAGAATCTTAGAGTACATCTTGCATGGTACACTAAGTAATGAAATGCCTCTGTGGTTTCGGCATTCCTGGTAGTCTCCTTTTTTATGAATTGGGGTACTATGACTGAAATTTCCCAGTCCTTTGGTACTTTTTTCCTTTTCCATACCAAATTAAGTAGATGCTGAAACATTTCCTACCCTTTTGCTCCCATATACTTCAGCATTTTGGGGGTTATACCGTCTATTCCTGGCAATTTGCCCATTTTCAGGCTGTCAATTGTATCTGCTATTTCCTCTTCTCCTATGAAATCTTCCTTGTCCTCGTTCTCAGTGACATCTTCATTGATATTTTGTTCCGGCATTGACAAACTACCTGTATCGTCATTCAGCACCCTCTCAAGATATTCCGCCTATCTATTCATTATTTTATTGGTATTTGTTAAAATAATACCTTCCTCATCTTTTATGTGTTTTATAATGGGCTCCTTTTCCTTCTTCATATTTTGTAAGCATCTGTAGAAGAGCTTCTGATTTCCTTTTGCATCTTCCTCTAACTTATTTCCGAAATCTTCCCAAGCTTTTCTCTTTGACTGCAGGACTTTTTCCTTTGCTCTTTTTCGCTGTTCCTTGTATCTTTCATAGTCTTCCATGTTTTTTGTCTGAAGATACCGCTTCCATAATTCCTTCTTTCGTCTGATTTCACTTTTCACCCCTTCGTTCCACCAGGCTGTTCTTTTTAATCGTTGGCCAACATTGGTTTTTCCACAAGCCTCCTCTGCTGCTCCCAGCAATATTTGTTTGATTGCTTTCCAGCTTTCCTCTTTTCGTCAGCATCCCATTGATATTCGCTGCTAGTTGCTTTTACTTCTATTGCAGACCTATATGCTTCTGCAACGTCTTGTGCTCTAAGCTTGTAATTATTTATTTTTGTGGTTTTGCTAGGTCTTGATTTTTCTTTCTTTGTGTTTAGGTCCTCTAAAATCATATCCAATGTTAGCAACATATGGTCTATCCCTAACTCGTATCCTCTCTTGACTCTGACGTCCTTTGTTATCCTTATTTCCTCTTTTGGGACCAAGAAGTAGTCAATGATAGATTTTTCGTTTCTGGAGGGTTCTGGCTCTTGTGATTTGGTGTATTTCCTTGTGAGGGAAAAAACTGTTCGCCACTGTTAGCCCGTTTGCTAGGCAGAGGTTTAAAATTCTTTCTCCATTGTCATGCCTGAAGTTTTCACCATGCCCCCCTAACACTCCATGCCATCCATCGGTCTCCTTTCCCACTCTGCCATTAAGGTCTCCCATAATGATGGGGGTTACTATCATCTAACCTCTTCTATAATTCGTCGAAGAAACTTTCTTTATCTCTAGCACTGGCATTATCATTAGGGCCATACACAATAAACAGTGTATATTTTTTATGTTCAAGTTATTCAAGTCAAGTCAATTCTTCCTGACAAAATTAATAATAAAAAACAAGACTACAATTTCATGAATATAATAATCAAAACTACATTATAGAACATTATTGGCACTTTTTTCAGAAGGATAGTGAAAGAACTGATATGAATTATTTACAGTAATAAATATCAATCATGAGGTTGAATAATGAATTAATATTTAAGAACAGTATTTTTTGAATATGTTTTATTTTAACTAAATTTTTATCAAGCAATGAGGCTGTTACAATAAAAATAAATCTTGCATAAGTTATTACTTGAAGGACAGGAAGTATGAACACCATGTTGTATATTTTGAATGAAAATCTTGTCATCATTCCAACGAGTTGCTCCAACAGATTTACATTTGCCACTTAAAGTATTCCAAGCACAATATGGATCTTGAAGAGCAACACATTCACTAAAAATAACAAATTAGAGATGTCAAAACAAATAAAATAAATGAGGACTGTTAATTTTTTTAAGATTACTTTCAAAAGGGCATACATCCTTAATATAAATCAAGTATTCTTTCACATTTTGGTTTACATCATGATTAACTATATCAAAATCTCTAATAATTTTCAACCAAAACTAATGTAAAAATTCCTTTTCTCTTACAAGTCTCAAGTTAGGATAATTATTTAACAGTAGTCTAATTCATTTCCTCACTTTACTGAAAAAAATCCCACCTTAGATATGTGACCTTTGGAAAGTAAGCTCCTTAATTGGGTCTTGCAACATCCTATGGTTAATAAAGACCTATCAGTATGTTTGGGAGACAATCTAACCAGCAAATATAACAAATTGATTTATCTCCCAAATATCAGATCCCCCCTTTTAGGACTGCGTGGACCTAAAAAGATGGACTACCTAGTTTGAAAATGAAAAGTTAAAAAAAAAAAAAAAGGTTTTATGTTTACACAAAATACATGCTATAAAGTGAAAAGAATATTTTTAAATAAAATATTTTTCACCTGCAACCTGAATTAACTTTGTCACATCGATGTAATCTCAATGATAGTACTTCAAAATCAGATACAACTATAAGGCGTCCTTCAGGATGAGCATCAGTTCGTACAATCTGCAAGTTTCTTACACTAACATTCTGTGGAAAAACTTGAAGTTCTTCAATAACCACTGGTGTAACACGCTGAATGGAATGAGCTGATTCAGCATTCACAGTTTTTAAAACCTTACCATTATCTAAGATAAAAAAAAATAATAATAATTAGAACCACATAAAGAAAAAATGTAATTTCATTAAAAATACATTACATAAGAAAACAAAGTATTAAAAAATATGAAAATTTATCTAATCAGTCTTATTGCAACAAAAAACATTTCATTGATTTCTATAATAAATTCAGATCCTGTTCTTAATGTTTTATCTTTTATCTAATTTATGTATGAGGGATCAGTTCCTAAAAGGGTCCATATAATTTTATTTATCGGATTTCTAACATTATTAAATGTGAAGAGATAAGACCAACATAAAATAAATTGCTGTAGCAATAGTAGTAAGTGTTGAGAGGTATACAGCAATTAGTCATAATTCATTTGTCATATTCTAATTTCATTTATTCTTACCATTGAGAGTGGATTCTGTTCCAAACAGGGTTCAGTGAAAAAATAACAATTATATTTTAAACAAAATGTATTATATAAAGCTCACTATTTTTTTTTAGATACTGGATTGTTCAGTTCAATAATGGTAAAATGAAAAGTATGGTAAGGAAATAGTAAACCGTAATTCTAATTTAAGGAAAATTTGGTCATGGTTGTGGTCAATAGACATATACTATATATAGTAGAATAGTTTATTTCAATCGCCTGGCAAATAAATGCTACTACAATATTTAGTATGTGTCTATTGACCGCACCCCTGACCAACTTCTTGAATTGAAATACCTATACAATAAATATCAAATTAGAACAAAACATAAATGCAGAAAGATGAAAAATTAAATAATAAAAAGATTAATGTTCAATACAACTAAGAAAAAAAATATATTTCATTTCATAGATTTTGGCTTCATTAAGTTACCATGAATGATTATAAATTTAATATATTTCTAAATCGAGTAATCAATTTAAACAAACCTGTTCCTATAAATAGAACATCATACGATTTTCCACCAGGGGTTTTTATCTGTGGATCAACAGCTATTTGTGTGAAACGATAACTGCAAGAAGAAAATCATACATTAAATAGAAAAATCAATGTTTCTTATTTTAATACTATACCATATTTACTTACTGGAAATTAGTGCGCACTAAAATTGGTTGCCGAAAGAATGATGGTACAGATTCATCCATTAATGCATGAGTTTTTATGAAATTGAGAGTTAAATCAGGAAGTGTACGTGAATCATTAACACACTGCCCTGGACGTGGATCTGGAACCTGCAATATTCATAATATAAAAATTCAAATATTACATTTTCTTGAATCAGTGAGTTTATATAAAATTTCAGATAATTTACAGGCAATGTTTAAAAAATGAAAATCAAAATGCGGGATTATATATCATTCGATCTGCTGAAATATGATATATTGCCATTTTCTGAAATAAAAGTATCATTAAATAGAAAACAAAAAGATATGAAATATGGAAAGAAAAAAAAACAACAACATAGAATGCCAATATTAGAACAATTTTCACAGATATACTCAACTTTTTAGAGTTTATATGTTGGCTCTTGACATTAACAGTAATCAGTAAAGACTTAAGTCGATAAAAAAGTAGAGAAATTTAAACAAGAAGATAGTATTATTCAGAGGGAAAAATGTCAATGCAACGGATAGGTATTTTCACTTGTTTTTAATTGAAAGTAATCGTAATTAAAATATATATTATATATAAATTGGCTGCAAAGTTAAATCAGTTTACATCTAAGAAGAAAAAAACACTTTAAAATAGAAACATTTATCATTTTTATGGTTTGTTTGAAGACTTTTTCACAACATTGTATATATAGTCCAGTCAATAATTGCTCGAAAGGGGGTATAGAAGGGAAAAGAAGGAAAAAGAAGGGACAAAGTTATTGATTTTGGGACATTTTTTGCATGAGTAAGAGGTAAACATACTAAATGTCCCTTCTCCTAGGTGGTGAGCCAGATGTGGGGGGGAGGGGAGGGGCCTAGAAGGTCACTTTTTCAGGTTTTCGCTCACATCAGGAAAACTATCCATGGCAGCAACAAAGACGTTCCATACAAAATTATAGCTGATAAAATTTGCAACATGATTGGTTATATAAGATAATGTCACAGGGAAGAAAGATTTTAATAATTAGATTTTCTACAATAATATATATTATTTTACTAGTTTATCTTCAATGGAAATGCTCTAAACTTCCAATTAATTACAAAAGCCTCATATACATAACTATAATAAGACTTATTTGGACTTACGAAGTTGAGCTATGGGACTCCAGTAAACCATCAAATTCCTCTCGTATCCAATCATTACAATCCAAAATCCTTCGTAAAATCCTCAATGATCCTTAATTTGTCACAAATAAAATAATCCATAAAGACCTTAATGTTCCATATGTTTCCGATTTGGCCCAATCGAGACACCTATCCTTCCATAATAAACTTCAAAACCATTTGAATCCTCTTGTTTCTAACCTTGCTTCCGCTTTGATTCCTGATAACCCTCCGAGGCATCTGAAAAGAAGATGGCCTCGTGATCTCCTCATGTAGACATATTTTTAGAGTAGTCCCAATGAGTAGTTTTTCAATAAGCGTTTTCATGTTACTATATTCCTCTGTACACATTTACTTGATGCATTTATACTAATAAAGTTGTAAATATCATAATAAAAATTTTAAAAAAATATCTTCAATGATTCAAAAGTTATGTCAGTTATAACTTTACATGTAAATTCCGAGAATCAGCAGAAAAAAAATTATTTTTATATTACTCACTATTACATTGCTCTAACTCTCTATACATGCAAATCTTTATGCGTGAGTTTGTGTGTATGCGTGAGTGAGTGAGTGTGTGTGTGTGTGAGTGTGTGTGTGTGTGTGTGTGTGTGTGTGTGTGAGTGTGTGTGTGTGTGAGTGTGTCACGTGTGTGCATATGTATGAAAGAGTTGTATGTTATATATATCTACTAGCCATATCCACCTATTTCCATGAAGCCCTTTCATCAGATCCTGATTCCAAATCCAAATGGCTACTCCTTTCCTTTTTTTTTTCCTTATGCCATAGTCATTAGTCATTCAACCATCCGACATCTTGCTGCCCAGTATAAGTTTGATTTTTTAATATAATCATTCACATATGTTTTATTTCTTATGTCCGTCAAAACAGGACATTTGTCTAGGTGGTCTGCATCTATTTTCGCTTGTTCACATAATTTACACCTAGGATTCTCAGCCATGCCTATCTTGTGGAGATGACTATGTAGATAGTTGTGACCTGTGGCCAGGCGGAAGCAGGCTACTGCATCTCTTCTTGGTAGGTCTTAGTGCATATATTTTGTTTCCTCCTTCACTACTATCCTCACCATTCGGCAGATTGAATCGTAAGATTTTAGATGGACTGTTTGAGGCAATTCTGCTCCTCTCCTGGCGAGACTATCCGCTTCCCCATTTCCTGGAATACCACAATGGCTCGGAATCCACTGTAGGACCACATTGGTGCCTCAGAATGTTAGATTGTAGAGAAGGGATTAGCACTCCAAGATAGTACTCGACAGATATTTATTCATGTCAGTAATAGCGAGGATTGCTGCTTGAGAGTCCACAAAGAGAACAGCGCTCTGAACTTGCCTTCCTGATACTTTTCTTAGGGCTGTGAGGATCACTGCTATCTCACCTACAGTCTTTCCAGTTTCAGCTGATGATTTAAACTCATATTTTATATCAGCTTCCTCTTTCATTCCTCAATTAACCTCTTCTTTCTTTACTTCTGAAACATTCTTTTATGACAAGGACTTTGATTTTTCAGATATTTCTCCCACAGACCTCATATTCACCATGATGAAATCACATTTCAATTCTATTGGTCCAGATGGCATTCCGGTCAAATTAATCAAATTTTGCCTACTTGAAATCCTTCCCATTCTCCTTTTCATTTATAATTTCTTGCTTTAGAACTCAGTATTTCCGACCTCTTAGAAAAAAGTCATGGTCTGTCCTTTACTTAAAAATCCTAACTCTTCTTCCCCTGAAGATTTCCGCCCAATTTCAATCCTTTCTAACCTTTCAAAACCCCTGGAAAGAATAGAACAATCCCAAGTTTCCAACTTCTTCAAACAGTCCAATCAACTTGACCCTTACCGATCTGGTTTTTGACCAGGTTACTCCACACAATCCACCCTAATCAAAATCATTAGTGATGTTCAGTCTGCCATAGGTGACAAAAAACTAACTGTACTTGTGCTCCTTGACTTTTCCAAAGCCTTTGATAAGGTTAACCATTCCATCATTTTCTCAAAATTAAAACTGTTTTTCAACAGTCCTATCCTTTAGTTTCAGTCTTTCCTCTCTCAATGTACCCAAGCAGTCGCTATTTCTAACCAACCTCTTCCTATCTTACTCTGTCCTCAAGAGTGGCACAGGGCTCTAGCATATCTCCTCTCCTTTTTAGTTCCTATATTAACAACCTCCATAAATCATTCCTTCACTGTTCCCATCACCTTTATGCCGATGATTCCCAAATTTACCTTTTCTTTGCTCCCTCTGAGTGGTATGATGCGATTGCCAAAATACAAGAAGAACTAAATCAGATCTGTGACTGTACAAACGTAAATGGATTAAGGTTAAACACTGCTAAAACCCAGGCCATTGTCATTGGTTCCAAACCCTTTCTCAGAACCAATACCAACATTCTTCTCCTGTGCCTAAATGACCATCCAATCACCTTCAGCTCTTCAGTTAAAAACTTAGGCATTTCCATAGACCAAACCCTCTCCTACAATCACAATATTTCCCATATTGCCCGATGTTCAGTTTCTATCCTGAAACTATTCAATCGCTTACACTATCTCCAATCTATGTCCACACGTAGACTTCTAGTTTCCGCCCTCATTTTCCACCACCTTGACTACAGACAGCTATATGGAGTACAGTGGCCTCTTGTTAGAACTTGGAGACAGACTGAAAAGAATTATGAATGGCTAAGTAAGATTTTTGAATGGAACCCTGAAACGTTCTCATGTTTCTCACCACCAGGCTGAGTTAGGGTGGCTCTTCCCCTCCTTCAGAAGACAATAATTCCTAGGCATATTCGTTTACCAGATAATCTATAATCATTGTCTGTCCTAAGCATACAATCTCCTTCAATTCAAGTCATCTATCCATTCTCTCTCCAGAAGATCTCTTCCTTCTGGCCTTTACACCCCTTTCCCCAAATCTGTCTCATTTCAACACTCCTCTATTGTCCCTTCCACCACTTTTTGGAATTCTATCCCGCTTAAAATCTGCCATGCACACCATCCTTATCCACATTTAAAACCTTATTCCAATTCCTCCTTAAAATTCAATCAGATGCTGGGTAGTTATTTATTATGTAATAAGATTTCATTTTTCTTTAGACATCATTTATATATATATATATATTTTTTTTCTTTTTTTTTCCTATTCATAAGATTTTAAGTCTTTGAGATGTATTTAATTTTAATTTTTTATTAATATTGAGCGGACTTCTCTATATGTTTATATATATATATATATATATATATATATATATATATATATATATATATATATATGTTTTTTTCTGTTTTCTTCTATCAATCAGTCTTTGTAAATAGATTATAAGACTTCTAATTTTTACAATACCAGATAAGTACTCATTTGAACATATTAAGGAACAGATTTAAATCTTTTTTGTTTTTTATTTTTGCAATGAATGGCCTTAGAGACCACGCGAATATCATTAACTTTGGTTATTTTCTTGTTTTTGTTTTTCCTTTCCTTCCATTTTCCCCTTCATTATCTCTGTGTGCTTTAGTTTTCTTTCTCCTGTCCATGTGACTCCCTTTTTCAAATTTTTCTTCCCCACAAGAAACTTGATTTCCTTTAGTCTTTTCCTGTATCTTTCTCCGTCTAGACAGTTCTGGTCCGTTATTCCTTGTCTTTCCATTTCTTCTTTTATCTGCTTGGTGTATCCTCCTGAGCTTTTGTATCCTCATTTAAATCATTTATTGTATACATTTATCTATTTTTTTCCATTAATACAATGGTTTACCTACAAAAGTAATTTATCGTTCTTTTCCAATTTCATTTAGTTATTTTTTATTTTATTGTAGTCAACAGCTATTTTGCAGCATTGTGACGTTATTGCTCATATTTTTTCTTTAGTGTATCTTTATAGCTATGTAAATACTTCTCTTATTACTTATGTTTAAGTTATTCTTTATTGTAATAGATCTTTTGGCCAGATTTAATGTTAATATTTACGAACAATATCGTTATTGTTAAGGGACTTTGTATCAGAATAAAGTTGATTATTCTATTCTATATTAACAGGTACATTTGTAGTTCTTCAAAGTTTGTATTGTCATTGAATACTATACTCAATTTCTTTAATCTAAATGAATGACAGGTAATTCTCTCATTGCCTTTGCTGTTCTGCAACTTTGGTGCTCGATGATCATCTCGCGTACCCATCAAACATTACAGTGCAACTCCTCCCACGATAATTAATATTCAAACAATGAACACACCCATTACAAATAGCAGTTATTGTGTGACCTCTTGGACAAATTACCCGAAAAAGAATTGGGATTGCAAACAGTCACTGTACATGAATCAGTGATCCCAGATGAAACAAAATATCCTGAACCTCACGAAACCTAGTGACTTTTTGCTAAAAAAGAAGCTATACCCATTCCAGAGTGCAAAGGATACATGCAGTCCATAACTATGGACGGAGGATTTCTTCTTCAAAAAGTAATTTGGCAATGAGGTCCGATGATAACTAATATTTGTAATACACATACATAGATGGCTTTACAACCGAACGAATCTAGGCCTCCTCGATCAGCCTCATGGCTGAGTAGACTAAGGCTTATGCACATCCATGTTGTCTGGAAACCAGATATAAGATAATTTGATAACCATAATTACAAATTCGCGTCCCAGTTCCAGGGGAGCTTTTAACTCTGGCATAAATCCCCCACCCTCACTCCTTGGCCAGAGAAAACACCATGTAGCCTAAAAGGGAAGGAAGAGGAGAACAAAAAAAAAATGTTTCTAAATAACAATAAAGATTCAGCGATTCTCAACTAATTGCCAATTTTTAATATTAAAATGAACTTTCAATATTAAAACTTGAAAAACGTGACCTTCCATGCTCCCCCTCATGTCTGGCTTACCACCTAGTAGTGGGAACTTTTAGTATGTTTACCTCCTTACTAGTCCAAACAGTGTCCCAAAATAAAAAATTGTGTCCCTTCCATTTCCTTCTACAATCATTCATTGACTGGACTAATATTCCTCCAAGAGAAAATGCATAAAATACTAGACTATTTCCTGATATTGAAGGGTCAATAATTTTAAAAACTAATTACAATATAAACAACTTAAATAATTGACCAACAAGAATTTTTCATCAATCGCCATGAAATAATTATAATTTTATTAATATTCAAAAGATAGCAATATTGAACAAAAAAGTTTCAAAGCAATTAAATATTCATATACCATATAATATTTTTAATAAATGGTTCAAGATTTTTTTTAGATCTAAAAATGGATTTTTTCAATCTATTCCTTGGAAAATTAAGATCTTCACATCAGAGCCCTATTGATAACAAATCATCTATGGAAAAAAGTAAAGCAAATAATAAAATAAATACCATTAAATAATAACAATGAGAATAACAGCTGGATACCAAAATAGGTGACCAGATTCATCATTAACCATAGACTCTATATGGACAACCTGAAGTTATATACGAAAAATAGGAACAAGTTACAATATATGATGTAACTTCAGTTAACATTTAGTTATTCAATTTGTATTCTTGTGGTCTCAAAAAGTATTCTGTACTCAATGTTATTAAAAGGTAAGTAAAATTGTTCAAATGATTGACTTAACCAAGATGAAAAGTAAAACTGACAGTATTTATATTAAAATAAAAAGAAATAAATTGTTGCAATCAGTAAATTAAATTAAAAACAATGTATAATAACCTTAACACTCTGCACTGGTAGCCAATTAGAATTTAGTTCTGACTGTTCTTTGAAATTTCCCTCAAAAGTATCTGTTATATCTTGAAGCTGAAAGGCACAAACAGCAGATCCTCCAATACTATTAACAGGGGTCGTAAATACAGCATAGAGCAAATGTGTAGTAAGGGAACCATATGTTCCTTCTACTAATTCAGTTGTTGATTCTGAAATTTACAAATTAGAATTGATCACTAAAAATTTATTTTTATATAATTTTACCAATATAAAAAATTAAATTAAACTGATCAATAATATACATCATTAAAGTATGTGATGTGTATATTAAAACTAAGAATTGAATCAATTAATCAAACAATTTTTGAAAATGTTAAATTCAGTGCCGGCCTTAGTTATTTGGCACCCCCGAGCAATGATGTCATTTCTCCCCCTAAAAAATTTAATTTATTTCTTAAGCTGTTTTATATTATTTAATATTTGAATTTTATTTCATTCAACATTTCTCTATTACATTTGCTTCATTGTTAGGCTAAAATTAATTATTTCAATACGTTTTGTAACTCTTTTTTTTCTTACAAGTGTGAGCCCCTCCAGGCCAGCGTCCAGGGACAATTGTCCCAGTTGTCCAACCCAAGGTTTAATTCATAATAGAGCTGTTAAAAATTCATTAAAAGAATTGTTATCATGTCACAGAGGAAACAACAACAAATACAACCCATTCACAGAGAAACAACCTTTTGTAGTTAAGGTTTCCAGGCCAAATTTTATATATTTCAAGTCTGATCAACAATTATGTTTTATTGATAATTGCTAGCCTACAAACTAAGGAATCATAGAAAATCACAATCTTCATTTTCATCCTTTATCAATTATTTAAAATTTGATTATTCATGTAGGTTTCACACTCTCATACTACAACCTTAATCTACACTGGTGGCCATAAAAAGTGCCACACCTTGACTTTTTTTGCTATATATTTCCCAACAGAAGAAAATTATTTAGTGAAATATACTGTTTTTAGGAGACCACAAGTAAAGGGAAAAATAACAACAATTCTTTTAAAACAATCTGTAATGTAAAATAAATTAAATGAACAATCTTTCAAACCAGAGTTCAGTGTAAGCATTCGAAGAGATAAGACGTGCCTCTCTGGTTGCTCACAGATAGGAATATTTACATTTATATTAATTTCTCTCTCTTATAATTTTTCACTTTTTATTTTTAATCACTATAAGGTTATATTTATTTTTTTATATAAAATATAAGGATATATTTATTTTACTTCATTTCATCTATTTTTTTTCTTTATTACTTGATATTTTAATTACTTATAGTAAGTTTTATTTTATCCTTCTATGGGGGATCCTATAGATTTAAATAGCCCAAAGGCTAAACGAAAACGACCTCGGGGTCGCCTTAAATTTGAAGCAGAAAATACGAATGGTGCGATTCCAATTAGCCCATTCTTTTTAGTAATAGAAAGATTGGATGATCAAAATTTTCAAAAAGTATCTCCATTCTTAATAAATAAGTTTCTTTCAGGTTTGGTGGGAGACTTAAAAAATGTAAAAAAGCTAAGGAATGGCACATTACTTATTGAAGCCAAAAACAGTAAACAATCGGAAGAATTATTAAAATGTAAAAATTTTCGGTTGAGTTGTCCCCCCACAATACCTTAAATTACAGTAAAGGGGTGATTCGATGTTACGACCTCCAATTTCTAGAGATAGATGAAATTAAAGAAGAATTATCTCCAATGATAAATGATATAATACGTATTAAAATAAAAAAGAATGTAAATGAAATATTGACAAACTCTTATATCGTGACCTTTCCTACACCGAGAATTCTGGAAAAAATAAAGATTTTTTTTTTATTTATTTATACATGATATTTACAACTGTATTAAAAAATTAAATACATTAAGTAAATTTGATAACAGAAAATAAAAACATGAAATGACTTGTTGAGAAACTACCCACTGGTAGCACTCTAAAAACAAAATGTATTTACAATAAGAGATCTCGAGGCCATCTTCTTTTCAGACGCCTCGGAGGGTTATCAGGAATAGAAGAGGAAGCAAGGTTAGAGACGAGAGGATTCGGATGGTTCTGAAGTTTATTATGGAAAGATTGGTATCTGGATTGGGCCAAATCGGAAACATAAGGAACATTAAGGTCATTATGGATTATTTTATTGGTGACAAAGTAAGGAGCATTGAGGATTTTCCGAAGGATTTTGGATTGTAAGGATTGGATACGAGAGGAATTTGATGGCTTAGTGGAGCCCCAAAGCTCAACTCCGTAAGTCCAAATAGGTCTTATTGTAGTCATGTATATAAGTCTTTTGTAATTTACTGGAAGCTTAGAGCGTTTGTCTAGTAAGTGTTGGAGTAGTCGGAAACGTCGAGCGGTTTCTTGTCGTTTCAGTCTGGTATGAGGATTCCAAGTTAGACGTTTGTCCAAGTGAAGTCCAAGGTATCGGATTTGTTCAACAGGGATAAGTGGGGTATTATTAAAGGATACTGTGGGACATGAGGTCATAGGTTTACGTCGAAGGGTAAAGGTGATTTGATGGGATTTATTAGAATTTATTTTAATCCTCCAGTTTTTACACCATTCTTCAAGGCTTGTGATGTGCGATTGAAGAGTTTGGGATGCAATGGTTGGGTCATTATTAACGGATAGGACACATGTATCATCGGCATACGTGGTAATAACAGTGTTAGGATGGGTTGGGATGTCAGCTGTATAAACTGTGTAAAGGATAGGACCAAGGATACTACCTTGAGGAACACCAGCGGACTGGGAAAAGAGGGATGAATAAGCATTATTGTGATTGACTTTTGAGTATCTATCAGTTAGATAGGAACGGATAATGAGGAAGTATGTAGGATGTAGGAATTTACGGAGTTTGTAAAGTAATCCCGGGTGCCAGACTCGATCAAAAGCCTGTTCTACATCGAGAAAGACTCCCGTGCAGTACATTCCGCGCTCTAATGCAGAGGAGACAACATCCACCACACGATGGCATTGCTGGATAGTGGAATGGGATCTGCGGAATCCAAACTGGTGATCTGGGATTATGTGATTAGAATCTAGGATTGGGTACAGGCGTTTTAGGATGAGTTTTTCTAGGACTTTTCCCATGATGGGTAAAAGAGAGATAGGACGGTAAGAGGATGGGTATTCTGGTGGCTTTTTGGGTTTATGTATCATTTTGATAATGGATAGTTTCCAAGGGTCGGGAAAATATGTTGATCGGAGTACAGCATTATATATATATGTAAGGAATAGAATGGCTTTCCGAGGAAGTAGTTTTAGGATCTGGGATGTAATTAGGTCGTGTCCAGGAGCTTTGCGGGAAGGTAACCTGTGAATGATGTTGGATATTTCTGAAGGATGAAAGGCTTTAGGAGGAGGAGTCATTTGGAGTGGGATATCCAGTTCTGCTTCAATACATTCAAGGTGATTTGGGTTAAGAATATCGGGATGTGGATTAAAGGTTTTAAAGAGGTGGTGGGCAAATATTTGGGATTTTTCTTCGTCGGATTTGGACCAGGTTTGGGCTTCAGTGAGTAGTGGATGGTTGCAGTCCTTAAATTTCAGGAGCCTTTTAGTGGTCGTCCATAGTGATTTATCGGTAGGTGTAAGTTTTTCAGTAAAATTTAGTAAATTTTGAATTTTGTATTTTCTTATTTCTGATTTCAGTTTGTTAGTCAGTTGGGTGTAATGCGCTTTATCTGTCGGGTATCTAGTTCGATGCCACTTCGATCTTGCTCTGCGTTTTTCCTTTAATAAGATGCGAATATGCTGTGGCAAGTTAGTATTTTGTGGTTTGTTAATCTTATTGATAAAGGTATTATTATTTATACTGTCTGTTATTGTTGATGTCAGTTTTTCTATGGCACCATTAATGTCTTCTTTTGTCTTTAGCGGAATTTTGAGGTCAAGTTTGTTTTCCAAATCATCACGAAATTTGTCCCAGTTTACTCGTCCAGTGATCAGTTTGGGAGGTGATGGTTTAGGAGCAAAGTCAGAATGTAATGAAAGCAGAACCGGACTATGGTCTGAAGAAAGGTCATCCAGGGATTTGATTATAGTTTGGGAGGAGGAAATCTGGGAGGTGATAAATATATCCAGGATATCGGGACGTTTTTTGAGGGATGTTGGCCAATAAGTAGGACTCATGGGCGAGAGGATTGAATAACTATTAGAAGATGAGAGACGGGAAAGGATGTTACCGCGGGAGTTGGATGTTCGACAACCCCACCGTTGGTGTTTAGCATTGTAATCTCCTCCAGCAATAAAGCGCGATCCGAGGGATTGGAACAACGTATCAAGGAGATTAAAGGAGAGGGAATTACCAGGAGGACAGTATACAGCTGAGACTGTGAAATGGAAAGGGCGAGTTGAAAGGATTAAAGAAGTTGATTGAATGGCGTCAGTTGGAGTGGAAGGAATAAGGGAATGGGGTAAAGATTTATGTATAAGGATGCAAGAACCGGCGTGGGCAGTGTTGTCTGGATGGTCAGATCTATAAGTGATGTAGTCTCGTATGTGAAAATGTGTCCGTTTTGTGAAATGCGTTTCAGTCAGTAGAGCTATATCAATGTGATTGTCATGAAGGAATATGTCAAGTTCGTCACGGTGGTTGTGTAGTCCGTTAGCATTCCATAAAAGGATAGTTAGGGGCTTTGTGCTCATCGAGGGAAATTAAACGGAATTTCGGTCAGGATTCTGGTTAGTAGAGTGATAAGAGGTTTTATGGTGTTTTGGAGGTCCAATAGGAAGGATGATAGAATGGAAGTTAGATCAGATGGATGTTGATTGTGAAGTGGATTTAGGATAGGTTCAGGTGGCGGGTAAGGAGTGTTAACTGAGAGTGGGATTCGTTGTTGTGTACGAGGTGGGACTGGATTCGACGATACTTGTGCTGGGTTTTTTTTCTGGGCATTAGGATGAGATGGGTGCGATTGCTGTGGCGGTAATTTGACTCGTAGAGGTAGATGATGAGGGGGAATTTGCTGACGCGGAGGATGAAATATGAGAGGATTGGGAGTATGAGGTTTAGCTTGGGAGGCCTGAGGCGCCTGGCGTCGAGGCTGCTGCTTCTTGATGGTGGTATGGGTGCTAGTTTTGGTAGATTCCTGTTGAGGATGGGCGATTTCAGTTGAAGTAGTTGGTTCTTGTTGTGTTGAATGGGT